GGGACAAAGGAATTGTGGAAGACAGCCACTGCCTTCAGGGAATCTGTAGACGAGTTGAGAAAACAGGAGTCACACCTGAAATCATTTGAGCTGGGTCCTTCTCTGGGATGTACCTTTTTCGTGATCACTGATTTGATTTGTTTGTGAGTTTCCTTGCCTCTCCCTCTCCACTTCCCCACCACCACCACCACCAAGCTCCCTGAATGTGTGACCAAGTCTAATCGCCAACTGCCAGGCACCTTCTGGGTCCTGAACACCTGCCGAATGAAGAACAAATTGTACTCTCTAAAGTAGGGTGGGGTGGGGCCGGCAGTGGCGCAGCGGTTAAGTGCCTGTGCTCTGCTTGGGTGGCCCTGGGTTCACAGGTTTGGATACCGGGTGCCCACCGACGCACCACTTGTCATGCCATGCTGTGGCGGCGTCCCATATAAGGTAGAGGAAGATGGGGATGGATGTTAGCCCAGGGCCAATCTTCCTCAGCAAAAAAAAAAAGAGGAGGCTTGGCATTGGATGTTAGCTCAGGGCTGATCTTCCTCACAAAAAAATAAATAAAGTAGGGTGGGGCAGAGGACAGAAGCCTGGCCTGTGAATCAGAGGCCCTGGGCCCTGTCCATGTTTGTGCTCCTGACCTGGTGTGTGACCTCGGCCCAGGGTACTCTCCTCCCTGGACCTGTCTCTTCATCTGAAAAATGCAGAGGTAAGACCAGGTGATCTCTGAAGCTCCTTCCAGCAGAAACCTTCTGAGTCAACACATGAAAGATAGCAGTAAGAGCAAGTCCTGGAAGATGCACTCACAATGGGCAGAATCAGCAGAGGGAGGGGACACCAAGGCAGCCCCCAAGGAGGAAGTGCATGTGAATTGCCCAGCGGCTACCTCTGTGGCTGCACCCACAGGGGCCTCCTTTTCACTCCACAGGCCCCTTGGCTCCCTAAGGCCTCTTTGCCCAGTATTTCCTTCAAGACTCAGGCACATACCCACATGAGCTCAGGATCATGTTTGGGTCCATTATCCCACTCCTACCTGGAAGGGAGTCCCAGAGGCCCACACCCTTCTCACCAAGGGTTAAGCACAGGCCAGTTCCCTAGAGCAAGACACCTCCAAAGTTCCATTTGCCAGCAATCTCAGTCTCTGGTCTATGTCAGGGCCTCAGCCAGGGCCGTGCTTACCCAGGGCAGAACTGAGTCTACTCCAGGGCTTGAGGAGCCCCGTCACCAACTGGCAAGGTTTAGAGAGCCTATCGCCAGGTTCTTCTGGGAACTAATCAGCATGCTGATCAGCACCCACACTGGTGATGGAGGCCCCTTCCTTTTTTTTTTTTTTTTTTGGTGGGGAAGATTGGTCCTGGGCTACCATCTTTTGCCAATCTTCCTTTTTTTTTTTTTTTTTTTTTTTTGCTGAGGAAGATTGGCTCTGAGCTAACATCTGTGCCCATCTTCCTCCATTTTGTATGTGGGACACCGCCACAGTATGTCTTGATGAGTGGTGTGTTGGTCCACACCCAGGATTCGAACCTGCAAACCCTGGGCTGCTGAAGTGGAACATGCAAACTTAACCACTATGACACCAGGCCAGCCCCAAGAGGCACATTGACTCTCCAGGGAAACCTACCTGCCAGATCTCAAACCGTGACCCTGCCCCACCCTAGCCAACTGGTGCTAGGATAGGGAGATTCCTGCAAAACCAGAAGCTGAATTTCACCTCTGCAGCCCCTGAACCTCCTCCACATCAAGCTGATATCATTCTAAGGAACAGGTTACTGAAAGCAGTTAAACTTGGGGCAGGAATCCATGTTGGTAACTTCAACCACTTCCCTACAGTAGATGGTACAGCCCAAGATTCAGCCTACTGAGCATGCACTGCTAAGGACCAAAGCCTACTTACCCTTCTAGAAGGGGTGGGGGTGGGGTGGGGAGGCATATGCACTTGAGGAATAGAAAGTGGATAATTTAACGAACATTTGAAAGCAAGGTCAAATTGGTTCAATCTGACAGTTCCATGGAGAGTGACAGCCCGTAGGAGTTCTCTGTTTACTCTCAAAAAAGATCAAATCCCGAACTAGGAAGTCTGTTACTCTATCCAGTTCCTGTTAGAACCATCTATTTGCACAGCCAAGGTAGCTGTAGACAGCACCTCATTTATTTCCCTGGGCTCTGCTGGACTCATAGGAACTCTTAAGTAGCAGAAAGAGTTGGCAGGCAGAGAGGTCATAGGGCTGTGATTACTGAGCCTCAAGCTCCCAGGGCACCAGCCATGCAGGTAAGCCACAGCCAGAAAAATGGCAGCTTCTCTCTCCTTTAGAAAGACAGGGCCAGGGCCAGCCCCATGGCCTGGCGGTTAAGTGCACGTGCTCTGCTTTGGCGGCCCAGAGTTCGCAGGTTCCGATCCCGGGTGCGCACGGCGCACCACTTGTCATGCCATGCTGTGGCGGCGTCCCATATAAGGTAGAGGAAGATGGGGATGGATGTTAGCCCAGGGCCAATCTTCCTCAGCAAA